TGGCCTCCCCGGGGAGAATCACGCTCAGGCCAGCTGGCTGTCAGAGGTATCAGGGTGAGAACAGAGCTGATAGCCTTTCAGCATGACTGTACATCTATCAGCCTGTCTCTGAACACCCTGCCATTACCGCTGATGGACATCTGGCTGAGGAACACTCAGAGCCATCACATGAGCGCAGGGAAATGCTTGAATGGAAACATGCACAGATTGGATGTTCGTATGTTGCCTCAAGTTGCCTGGTTCGGGGATGGATGTATGTTATTCCATTATGCGTTGCTCAGTAACTCACTTCACTTACCTCATGCCATTAAAGTAGCTCAAGTACTTTCACTATGGAGTCTTTTCTTTTCAAATCAGAGAGGTCAAAGTTAATTAATCTAGAGACAAAAAACAAAAGATGTAGATTTATGTTAAAAAAGTCAAAGAGCCTTAAGTGTTGTTCAAATCCTCACACTTCAGTGACTTATGGCTTTATGTTGAAACTCAAAGTCCTAACTGATGCTTCCTCTATTAAAACCTCCAACAACTCGAGTGGAAGACAGTGTGGTGAATAATGAGGAGGTGAAGCATGAAAAATGTATAGGGTGGTCTTTATTGTTGCCTCATGTCACCCACATATGCTACATGTGCAGTAATGAGCTGGACTGTAAAGCCAGAAGTTTCCGGCCAATTACTATATTATTATGAACAAAAAAACAAGCGGTCAACATCAAAAGCCCCCAATCAGGTTTAAATCTATGAAAGAAATTTTTGTCTGCCACAGTGCGCTGATCTCATTGTCTGGCATGGAAAATACGACCCTGCCAAATGCCAGTTGAATGGTCAGACTCAAAGAGTGTGACCAGACTCTGAAAACAAGCTCGTCTCCGAGGGCCCGGAGGCTGGGCCGCAGCTGACCCAAACACACAATACGCTGCACTCTCACCTGTCTGCTCCCACTGCCAACTTGCTTGTGTAGACCTTTTTCACCCCAGCACTGAGTATTCATTCTCATTGGTAGTAAAGAGTGTGTGGAGTTCTCTTCCTGCAGCTGCAGCGTGCCTCTCTACATCTGCATAATCTATTTATTCTGATGTTAATAAATACCTTGACAACACAGGAGAGTTATTTTTATTTTTATGTATTTAGATACCATAGGAGGTGCACAGTGGTGTGTGTTCCACACCAACAGTTGTTGCAGCCACATGAAACCAAAGAGCTGCTCTGTTGTCCAGGCTGTTTTTGTAACTTGGGCGTGTTCTCAAACCATAAGTCATTAAAATCATCGCAGTGGTTTAATTTGTTAAGCTATACATACAGTGTTTACATTACCTTTTGCGCTGAGGCTCATCTCTCCTCAAATATTTACCTTGCATGCAGTTGCTGACAGGTTTATGTGCTGTGATGTGACAAGATAGTGGACATAGAAAATGTGGAGATACTGAGGCAACCTGAGGGAAAGAGAAGAGGGAAACACCAGGAGGAATATCACAACCGTATGTTTCTGTGTTTATCGTTTAATGCATCTGAAGCCATATTTGGAGATTTCATAATTGTATGTGTCTCTTTATTGATATTAATTGAGCTGGGTTTCTCACTAGCGCTGGCTCCCTCTGTTGGATTGTCAGGGGACTGCCCTATCCCACACACACACACACACACACACACACACACACAAACCTTCTCTGTCATTTGGTAATACAACATGGCTTTTGCTATTTTCAGCCAGAACAATCTTGCATATGTGAATAGACTTAATGTGTTTTCCATTTTGTGCCCCCAGGGGTCTGTTTTAAAGAACAGGAGATATGTCTTATTGTTGGTGTTGTTAAATTACCAGACATTTCTGTTTTTATAGCTTATGAAGTGCCTCTAGAAAAAAAGATACAGATGGTGCTCTGATCAAATAGCAATTAAGCAGGAAGCTGTTGTTATTTAGAGCCAAATAGAGCCTATAAATGTGCCACTGGTCTAATTCAGATGCTGTTATATATAATATAATGTCTTTGGGGACAGGCTGGAAAAATGTACATCTGGCTCTAGACTTAACTTTTCATTATTTCCACCTGATTTAAAAGCATTGCATCATAGAGGCAGTGATGCCTGTCTGGTGGATGCTTTCGTCGCTTTTTGTGTGACACTGTAACCTCAGATAGCTCGAGGCACTTTGAGCGCCACAGCTCAGTCAAGTCTTGTGTTTGCATACCTCATGTGTCACATCCAGAGGGAGAAAAGTCACTGACGCTGCTGCTCGCCACTTTTTGTCCTGTTCAAGGCCAGGCTTCTTTGACAATAGCTCCATGACTGATACGGAAATGTGTAGAAATTTGACCTGCTTGACCCCGGTTTGTCTTAACAGCACAGTAAAGAAGAAAAGTTTTTTGACAAAAGGTGAAAGGGTTAAAAGGTCAAAAGCAATACTTTAATGATAATGAACTTCCATGGAAAGATGCAGCCTGAAGTGCTTTACAGACGAGATTAAAAAGAAAGCTTAGAAACAATAACAACAAAACATCAATAAGATGCAACAAGCATGATCAGATGACAGAATAATTAAGGAAATAAAGTGTGAATACACAACTCTTATGCAGTGAGCATTAAATCATAGGATGTATATATAATACATGTCAGAATACTGTATCATATAACATGATATTTGAGGCAGAATTCAGCAGATCATTGCTTCAGCCCTGTACAGCTTATTGACACATACAGATGGTCCTTGAACCTTGTTGATGAGCAAAGTTCATGTTAAAAAATATGTGTGTTTCGCAACACAATGTTTTGTTCAGGGACTGACTGCAGCAGCACACAGCAGTGTTGGCTGTACCTGCTTCTCGTTTCAGTGTGGTAGGGAGGGATTTTATTCACAGTGGGGTATGTGGTCAAGTGCACTGCAAGGCGAAGTGATTGATTAGTTGGTTAGGCGTTCAAGAAATTCCCCAGACTGAGCGTGAATATACTGTGAGGCTCTATTGTGGGAAAACGATTTCCCCATTAATTTGGAAAATGGTGACAGTATTCGATGCATTTTCAGTAGCTTGCTCAGTGTAATCCTTTGTGATCACATCCATCTGACCTTGCACTACAGCACAATACACATTTCTTACCTGATAAATCCTCTGCTCAGAGCGTAAATTCAGATTCAGTCAGGGATGAATATTACAAAGGAAGGCATTGGTTATTTGAGCTTGGCATATCAGTGGCGATCACACAATATTCAACCCTCATTTGCAGTAAAGAACTGTTCCTGCCCCCAAACCTGCTTAATAAAACGCATTACTTCTGCTGAGTGTATAAATTGAAATGGCCTCACCAAGGGTAAAGACACACAACAGCTTTGTGAGATGACAACTGAGATCACATCAGAGACACGAGCAGGACAAAGTTCACTCAGCCAATAAACTATTTATGAAATTGGAGTGAAGTTTGGAGACCTCAGTCACTCAGGGATGAACACACACACTCACACTCACACTCACACACACACAAACACACACAGACAAGTAGATCCCAAAATATTAGAGCATTGGTGAAAAGTTTAATTAAACAGCTTAATGAAGTCACTAAATACAAATATTATCAATCGCTATAGGAATATTATTCTTATTACTAGGAATACAAATATTGTGGTTAGAGGAAGCCTTGCATACACACACACTCACACGCACACACACACACACACACGCACACACAAATACACGTAAATACACATGCACACACTGTGTAGTTCATAAATCATTCATTTTAAAGGACTAGTGTGACATTTTGAGAAATGCACTTACTTGCTTTCTTGCCACAAGTTAGATGATTAGACTGATACCACTCTCATGTCAGTGGTTTGAATATGAAGTCAGCAGCCAGCGGCCAGATCTTTGCAGATGCTGATAGGCAGATTTTCTTACTCTAGGACAGAGCCAGGCTACAACTGTTTCCTCCTGTTTTGAGTCTTTATGATAAGCAAAGCTGGAGGTAGCTTACTGCTCCTGGATAGTACTGATCTCGTGCCCCATGCTAAGCTAACTGGCTGCTGGCTCGCACTAAGTATTTACCATACAGATATAACAGTGATATTAATCTTCTCATCTAACTCCCAGCGAGGAAGCAGGTAAGCAAGGTGTTGGATGCAGACTCTGTTACCGTTGGACAGGGCCAGGCGAGCTGTTCTCCCGGTTTCCAGACATTAGTCTGAGCTGAGTTAAGGCCAATTCATGTTTCTGCCTCTTTGCCGCAACAAGAGTAAGTCGTAAATCATCTGATTGTGGACCCCTGTGCAGACATCTGTGTGTAGCTGTACCCACAAGGTCACCCCCATGATTTCTAGTGCATGTGAGATGTGAGATATGTGCCCGTATCCATATTCTTGATTGTAGTCGCCGATGTCCACGTCCATCCTGGAGTAGCCTACAATCAAGGCTTTAGCCTGCAGCTGGTGGCAGCTTATTTACCCTATTGATCTTCTCATCTAGGCTAACTCTCAGCTTGAGAACAAATATGTAAAAATGTATGTTGCAAAATGTTGGACTTTCCCTTTAATGAGTGTTGCATGAGTCTCTTCCATGCACATCAGAAAAAAACATGGTATACGCTCAGTCAAGTCAACAGCTACTCTCAGCAAACCATGATGGTCACAAACTTGTCAGTTTCTGAAGTGAAATATGTGCTGACACACACACACACACACACACACCTCTTCTCCCTGTTACGTCACACGGGTACAAGGAGCGCAAAGCAGCGGTCCGGCTCGCGCTCACTCAGCCACTGGTGCCAACCACAGTCCCACAGCTAATACGTGTACTTTACTTGTTTATTTTCTCTTCCTTTTAAAAGCCTTTTCACTCGAAGCAGAGACAGTGAACTTGTCTGCAGTCGCTGTCAGGACAGAGGACTTGTTTCCTTCGCTGAAAGCAAGGCGGTAATTTATTTTGAAAGTTGGATTACAGCGGAGCCTCTTGAGCTGAGGGGAAATATTGGCTGCCAGATGCTGCCCAGAAGATGAGCAGCAGTGAAGTACAGACTGGAGGAAATCAGCGGAATCCCGGGCTGTCAACGGTAATTTGCCTTTTATTTATTTTATCTACTTTAATGATTTTTTTCAAATGTGCTTCAAATAAGCTTATTGTAAAAAAACAAAACAAAAAAAAAACAAAAACTAAAAAACAACAACAACACTTGCGGACTGTAATGAATCCTAATCCTAAATAAAAACGTGACTTTGTAGTTAGATAATACGCTTTTTTTTTTTTTGGTCGAAATGCGATTTATACATCTTCATACGAACTCGTTAGTGAGAGCCACAGACACATCGGTCACCGTGAGCTTCGCTTGGTTCATGTTGAGACATAGTTGAATTTCTGGAAATGTTTTCAGGATTCCAGCAACTGCAGCCGGTGTCACTTATCGCTTCTGTTCAAACGCCGTGTTATCGAAATCATCCTCTATCTGGCATCTGCACTCGGTCTGTTGCCCACATTCGTTTTTTTTTTTTTTTTTTAGAGAAGTGGATAACTGTGCAAAAATACAGTAAAATACAGGTTTTAATATCACTAAATATCAGTTTAACCCACCAGAGTTTAGATGTTTCAGCGTGGACTTCAGTCTGTGGTGAAACACACAACTGCACAACTGCTTAAATTCTTTAAATTAGCCTACAAGATAAGTTACTGCTGAGTGTAGTAGCTACAAACAAAATGAAAGCTATACTAAGTAGCCTATTATACAAAAGGCTAGACACACATCCTGCTCTGTGCTGCCTAATTAGTAGCCTACATAGTAATATTGTTGCTTAATTAGTAGCAAAAATGAAACAGGCTGAAAACAGGAGTGGACACTATTACTACATGTGCAATATAATATAATGTAATATTATGCAGCAAACACTACATTTGTGAAAAAAAAAAAATATATATATATATATTTTGAAAGGAGTATATCAGTGCTTAGATTTAACTTTTCCAAATTGTGGTGTTGTTGCATTGCATTCTGTTGCAAGGTGTTTCTGTTATTGTGTCCACCTCATCAGCTCAGTCTGAATTCACACAAAGCTATAGCTTGGGCAGTTTATCTTAGGACACACTGTTTTGAATAACTGAGTTAATCTGGCCTCTTTGTGCACATGAATTGCGATTCGTAAACAGAATTATGAAACATAATGAAGGCGAGGAAACAATGCAGTCGTAAGGCTGCTGCAAATGAAGCACATGCATTCTGTGCTGTACATTAGGAAACTGTGTCTAATCATGTACCAGGCAGAATAAACACATTAGTGTGCGCTTTAACACTGCATACATAAAAATTTAATTGTTAAGGGGGGTTAATTGTCGTGGAGTGATTTTGATCCTAATTAGACCCACTTGGGCAGCATCATGCAAGTGAGAGAACAACATGTGGACCCTCAGTCCCTTGTGTATCTTGTATTCCACTGCACACAGTGTGGCTAATAAATGTGCCTATTGTTAGGTAAACAACTCACCCACAACTGAACAAATATATTCATTATTACCACAGCACATCTGTGGCAGGGATGTAAGAGATGAGCGCTCTGCGCCCTACAGGTGCACTCCATGAATGAGTGATGCCTTTCTGTATGTTGTCTTTGGTGGTAATTTGAAAACATTAGCGGGCAGTACAGGTGCTTCAATGCATACAAAATACACATTAGTGCAGTTTTATGATGCATAAAGTAATCCTTCTGCTTTCTAAGCGCTGCCCCAATCAGCAGGGTGAAGTTTCCACGGTCGCACGTTCCATTATGTATGTGGCGGAAAATGCTGAATGATAACACGGCGGTGAGGGGTTACATTTGTTAACAGGTTACATTTGACCCTCATATGCATGCAGCGTGCATGAAAAGGCTCGTGGCTCAAATGACTCACACTGTGATCGGCCTCATAGCGGTGAAAACTGAAAGCTGTGAGTGCTTTCTGATCTTTTCACCCCCCCTGAGTACTGTACGTCTGTACTGTACGCCATGTGAGGCTATTCAGCTCCAGCACCCCCAGGTCTGTCAAACATGAGCTGTCCCACTGTTTCATGGCTTTGTCAGTGTCGGGTGAGGATTAGTTTATAAGAATTCATGTGACAAAGGACGGATTACACCTCTCTCCTTCCTCTCTCTTTGTAAGTATAATTTTGTGGCTAGAGCCAAACAGCATCAGCATCATATAGCGTGAGCTCAGCTGCTATTTGTCTTTGAGGTTTGAGTGCACTTATGTGGTAGGAAAGCGGGGCTTAGCTATTCTTGTTGTTTCACAAAAACATACCAAAAGCTTTTTAAAAATGGTCTCCTTTGATGTTATATCGCACTGTAAACCACGGCGTACAGTGAGTTATGGTGTGTGGTGGACTTGTGCTATGACAGGGTGTCAGCAGTAAGTCACAGAGTTGAGTAATAACAGATGGTCACAGCTGACTTATATGCATGTTAGACCTGATGACAAGTCAGTTCATCTGTCTTTATTATTCATTCAGTCATTGAAAACATATAATCCAGGACAGGAAAAGAGTGACTAGAAATTTAAACCAAGTGCTCCTTTATGAAATGTGCTGCAAGTAAACATTGTCTTTATTATATAATGATTTATGTAACTGTATTGCAAAGGAAATTGCAAAAAAAAATAAAAGACCCTCCCCTGCTCTCCTAAAACAAAAAATACAATACCCTCCTCCCTTTTCAGACCCCTTCTCTCTTCCCTTAAGAAGAATAAAGATAAGATGTTGATGTCTTTGTACTTTTAAAGTTACACGTTCAACCTGCAGTCTGATCCAAATCAAACAGATGTATATCACAGCGCTGTCTGCAAAGCACTTTGGGGCTTTCCTTGTTCACAAACGTTTGTTCGTCCTGTGCGTCTTTGATCTGAAACTTGCTGAGTTGAATGTAGGAAACTGAGGCGGCCAAGAGAAGAGTCATCCTGCCTGTAAACATTCAGCTCTCTGTCTGTGGTAACTGTGGCTGCTGGAGAAATAATGGTGAAGACATTCAGTTAAGAATAAATCAGAGATGGGACATGTGACAGAGATCAAATTGACTCCTCTGGACTCAAGTGTGCTGTACATCTTCACAGTTGTCAGATGCATTGTGTTGTGTCTGATACCAATTGCTTTGACCTTTTCAATTTATGTTTTCAGGGATTTAACACAGAGAAAATGGGAAAAAAATCTTTTTTCATAATCAAATTCTATTCCCATCCAGAAATCCCTTCTCTGCTCATTGAAATAAAGCAATGATAAATAAATAATATAAATACTACTAATACTTATAGAAACTGAATAAATACATCAAAATAAGGTGAATCCAAAAAAAAGAAAAAAAGGGATACAGATAACCAAACAGACCAAGATGTATGTACCTATCTGCACACATTAACCACTCATACCGAACACTTCATCAAAGTGCACACAGCTGTTTGCATATTCATAAAAAAATCTGTTTTTATCAGACTCTTGAAGATGCATTGGTCAGGACATGATGGTATATTAAGATACGTAATTGAAGTGACAGAGATGTAAACAGAACAAACGCTTGCTGCTTGAGAAAGGAAGAAGGAGGACAGCCTCATGCATCTCTGCCTCTTGTGGTTTCCTGAGTATGAGCCATCTAACAAGATGAGTGTGAGAGCGAGGAGGGAGACACATACAGCTTTGCTTATGGTTTGCTGTGTTTCCTTCTATTTTCTCTTTGGCTTTAGTGCAGGGAATAGAGTTGAGAGAGACAGAGAGAGAGAGAGAGAAGGCAGAGGCATATAGAAATAGCCTGAAGTGCAGAGAGACAAACAGACAGACTCACTGTGCAAACAAAAGAGACAGAACTAAAGAGAGAGAGCGAGAGAGAGAGATGGCCAGGAGATCCTCAGCTGGATAATGGCCCATGGTGGTGCGTGTGGACAGGTGTGAGGGGTGGGGGTTGGGTGGGGTGGGGGGTGGGGGGGGTCGTACGTGTCAGCACCCATCAAGTGACCACGTACATCCTGCGCAGCTCTGTGGGCACCGGTTCAAGTGAACCCCCCCAGTGGATCCAGGGGGGCCAAGAATAGCTTCCACTACAAAGAGCTGTCACTCTGGATTGTAACAGAGCGGTGATAAGGGTCTGTCTGGATAACGCCACTGGGCTCCACTTAGCGCTGTGTTTGCCATCCAACTCATAACACCTACACACACGTACATACATACGCACGCACGTGTACACACTCCAGCTTACAAGAACAAACACAAAAATTCTCAGGTGATCAAATCATTTTCTAGACAAGCAATCAGAATCTGAAATGAGGCAGGCATCTCTTGAGCATAATAATAATAAGTAAACAAACACTGCACTGTATCTCTACTTCGGTCAGTTTGGGTGAAAAAAAATGCAATAAGGAGCAGTGAGAGGCATCAGTTCTGACATACAGGCAATTAAACACATATAGTCTTCCTCCTCGGGCAGTTGGAGCAATGATATGAATCATTCCCATTTTTTTTTTTAAATGAATGACAATCCTTATCATTCTCCAAAAATAAATTGGGTGGGGTGGTAAAAATCTGCCATTAAGGTGAGGTAGAAGCTGACCACATCATTACCATTAAAATATTGACAAGAACATTTTTAAACAGGTACATTCACTAAACAATAAGTTTAAAACATGCTAATAATTTTAAATGTCTTTGCTGCCATGTACACAACACACACTAGTTGTGTCTTTCTCCATTGTACACACAAACACACTGTATATGTACAAAAACACGTTTATATATGCACAACTGAACGGGAAGGATCAGAACCAATCCCTTCCTGTTAGCGGCAGGAAACATCAACTGCTTATTGAATAGACATCGACTCCTATGTGGCTTTGAGCCACCATGTGATGGGTGATTTTGCTCTCCAACTTTCAGGCATGTGCCGGGTTAAACGGATAAGTTGAGTGTTTATTAAATCTTCCCAAGTACACTCAACAGTGTGCCAGTAGCAGAACAACTGTCAGTTCCTTTAACGACCTCTTTAACCTCTTCGAAACAAGCTCTTTACCTCTGGAGGAAAATTTGATTATGTGTGTGTGTTTTTTTTTTTGTTT